AACCTTGTTAGTGATTAGGGCTTTAACAAATTGGTAACCGCACATTTTGGGGAATGAATACACCTAAGCATTTAACCGTTTCTATTATGCATTTGATCGGCTGCTCGCGTCATCCCGGCTTTTCTTCTCTCTTTTTTTCTTTTCATGTTTTCACTCTTGCCCTTGTTTTCTCTTTGTTTTTATTTTCTCATTTCCCTCTTGTTTTGCTATTGCTTCTTTCTCTTGAATTTTTTATTCTTCTTCTTTTTCCTTTCTTGTTTTTCCTCTCCCTTTTCGTTTTTATTCTTTTTCTCTTTTCTTTCTTTCTTTTTTTTCTTTTGGTTATGGTCGAATACTATAGAGATTGCCTACGTATCATGACCCCGCATGAATCAGACCAAGCGTAGTTCTAAGAGATAAGTACGAAAGTAAATAATAAAACAATTTTTGGGATTTTCAATTTCATAAAAATTAAACGCTTTGATTACAAAGACTCAACACGAACAGACTCTAAGAGAAACTAACAGACGTTGATGAAAAGATGAAATACAGACTCCAAAAATAAACTATCATACTCCGACAGAAGAAAATGCAGACTCGACAACAAATGACAGACTCTAGCAGAAAGAAAATACAGACTCAACACAACTGACAGACTCCAACGAAAAAGGAAATACAGACTCAAATGAAAAATCCTGAATACATTAATGCTCCTGGTGCCCGTGGGACATCATTCGGTCTCGCTGCGGGCCTATATGCAAGGTCCCTTTGAAGTCGGTCCAAGTCACTCATTATCTGCTTAACGAATGTCATCACTGCCGCGAAGAAGGTAGTGCGAGTCATATCCTCACAGACTTGGCACTTCATAACGATATAATCGGCGATGTTTCTAATTCTCTCTCTTATGACACCTTTTTCTTGTGGCAACCGCCCGATTTGCTGGGCCCTGGCTTCCAAAGTTTGCTCGGCCACAAGATTCTGCTCCTGAAGTTGTTGCAAATCTATTTCTAATTGTCCCAATGATGTATAACACTGTTCTCTTTCAACCTTGAAGTCTTTCGCTTGTTTGATCATTTTGTTTTCCGTGGCAATGACCCTTTTCTTTAATCCCGCGACCTCATCATCGTACTTTTCTTTCAATTGCATAACTAGGCGCGCTCGTTCATCCGCATTTTTAGCCAACTGTTTTCGAGCCTTGGCTAGTTCACTTTCTGCTTTGTTCAAATCAAAACTATAGTCACTCACTTTCTGCCTTAAGTTAGCTATGAGTTTCTCATCTTTGGCACTTCGGGCTGGGTTTTCTGTCGCTATTTTCATTTTCTGAATCTGGGCTCGAAGGGCCTCATTTTATATGGCTAGCTTTTTCTTTTCTCCTTGGTCCGCCGCGGCTTGCAAGCTATTTTCAAACTGAAGGTCCCTGACTTGTTTTTCCAATATGCTTATGGTAGCCCTGTACTCGTTTTCTTGGGCCAACCAGTCCCATTGCACCTGTGCCCCGTCAGTGAACTGTGGGACATGGGGTATCTTTGCGGGCCTTTCGGGCTCATGTTGAACTCGGGATCTTTTACCATACCAAGCAATATAACTGGGCTCCACCTCGCCTCTGGATAGATCTCGTACTTGAGTATTAGGCCCTAAGAATCTACACTGATGCCAAATCCGACGCACTTTTTCTTCTGGGAAGGCAGCTTTTGGCTCTAACTCAATGACCTGCCGACTCAAATCTTCATCATGTGGGATGGTCTGGTATCAGCCTAACTGACGTAAGACTCTGTGCGGAGCATAAGGCTGAATACTTCGAAGACCCATCAACAGCAAAAACATGCCTCAGCCGACATATAGATTACTTCACTGATCGAGAGCCACCCGATCGACCATTCGATCTTGTTTGCAGTCAGAGATCTCAAATGAGCATGCCATACTTCTGTACCATCCGGGAACTCATAACCCTCTACCCGCATTTCATGTTTTTCGATGCATTCAAGGCCAGTCATACCACAATTCAAGTATCCGGGACGGTGGCAAAGGTGTTCCTCCATCCATAGTTGTAACAACATATTGCACCCTTCAAAGAACTTCCCTCCTTCTCGACATTGGGTCAGTGCTCGGTAAATTTCAGCCAAGATTAGCGGCACTATAGTCCCATTTGCCTTTTTCATCATAAAGTTGGCTATCCCTGCAAGTCCCAACTCTATGTTCCCGTCTTTTCTAGGGCAAACCAAAATACCCAGGAACGCCGCTATGAAAGCTAATCCTCTCCGAGATTCCACTTGTCTTGGTTTCCCGCGTGAGTAAGACCGGTATCTGGCGTTTTGAAGCCACGAGGATTCCCGTAACGTCGATACAGAAAGTAGAAGGTACAAAATCCTTTGGCCAAATTTCCGTCTCGGATGTCACGACTGATGCTTAACAAGTCCAAATATTTATGAGGGGTTACTGTTCTCGGCGCTACCGGGTATTGACTTCTAAGACTCCCTTCAAAACCGGCATAGCCTGCTATCTCTTCCAGTGTAGGAGTTAACTCAAAATCAGCAAAGTGAAATACATTATGGACTGGGTCCCAGAATGGTATCAAGGCCTCAATCACGTCTTTTCTTGGCTTAACCTTCAAGAGCCCGATAAGACCACCCAATGCTTTTGTCACAGCCTTTCTGCTATCTTCTCCTAAATCATGCCGCCACATATGTAGCTCCAAAGGGATCTCTTCACGGACTGAGAAAGGTTCATTTTGAATTGTGCTCATCCTGTACATTTATTAAGGTGATTTTAATTAAAAGGAAACTATGACTCGTTTTGACTCAAGAAAAATGACCATCTTTCATACAAATATCCGTCTTTGCCAATACGGCCTTTCAGCACTTCGAAAATGAAGATTTTAAGGCTGTGTCGGCTAACCAGCCAAAACCTTTAAAAGTGACTAAAAGTGGTTGTTCTTGCAAAAATAGCCTTCCGGTGCCCTTTTAGGGACATTTGGCTATTTCTGACAAGAATGACATCACCCTAATTATTTTCAAATTAAAGTAAAATTTTTGTTCTTTTGTGTTATTTTTGCAAAAAGGAAGTTGGACCCGATGGAGGTTGCCTACGTATCTCACACCCTGTGAGAATCAAACTGGCGTAGTTCGGAAATTTTTTTTAAGAAAATAAACCCAACTTCTTTTTCTTTTCCTGAAAACACAAAGATATTTTTTTTCTATTTTTCTTTAAAATCCACAAAATTCCCCTCTTTTTTTCAAATTTCGGCAGAGTTTCAGTATACTTTAGAAACATTGGTTTTCACCGCAGGTAATTACCTCACACTGCTATTTTCTTTTTCAAATTCTCTCCCTCTTATTCAAAAGCCGGTCAACATGCAAATCCGAAGCAAATAAATGCACAAGTAGCAAGTAAGATGCATCAGGATGGTATTTTTTATTTCGGGTGCACCTGTCCTAGACAGACCCAACCCCTGTGTTGAGTCTCCAAGTCAAAATGCACATGATGCAAACAAACGTTCCTACTAGGGATCCGGCATGAGGTATTATTATACTAGGTTTAAAAACCTGAGTTTATTTGTTCTAGACTTGGCTTACCCGAGCGGATAGCTCGAGGTGAGGGGGGCAACGTACCGGGAATACAGAAGCTTCACCGGCTTTGCAACTTGTCCCAACCTCGTTCTAAATTTGGAATATGACTCTAACAGAAAAGAAGTCACACGAAGTGCACACTTCTTCATGATTTAGAATACTCAGAGAGAAGAGGCATTTCGTAACAGTTTATATACAGTTCACGAAATATCAAAGTGGTAAAAGCAATCAATTAGCACATTAGGCCCAAATCATGTAACAAAATCAGATAATGGATAAAGCCAACTATAACAATTATTCTAAGCTCGAATTCTTGAACCCTGAACCAGAGATTCTGGGTTCGATCCCCAGCAGAGTCGCCAGAGCTGTCGCACCTCCTTTTTTCCTACACCCCCGTAAGGGTATATATAAGGGAGTTTGTCTAATTAAAGTGACAATCGAAAGGGGATTATTTATTTATTAAATTTAGAGTCGCCACTTGGGATAATTTATGGTGTCCCAAGTCACCGGTTAAAATCCTGAATCGAGGAAAAGATTAACTCTGTTCTACAGTCCGCGAACAAAGAAATTCGGGTAAGGAATTTTGTTAACCCGGGAGAAGGTGTTAGGCATTCCCGAGTTCCGTGGTTCTAGCACGGTCGCTCAACTGTTATTATTGGCCTAATTATCTGATTTTAAAACACTTTTAAACCTATGTGCATTTTAACTTTGAACCGCTTTTAATTATTTAAAGAATTAATTCAAGATTGTTTTAAACACATCGCAAGCCACGCCACATGAAATGCGCCCGTGGTTCACGACACATTCTATTTAACCTTGTTGGAAATTAGAACCGGGTCACATGAAATGCACACCCGAATTTTAGTAGTAGCCATGGTAATTATATAATTAACGCGCCTAAAGCAAACTACGAGGTTCATTTTTCAATTAGTTAAAAATAGAAAGTATATTAATAATGCAAGAAAAGTAAGATTCTGAAAAGATATAATACTACAAGACAAAAGAGTGAATGGGGTGCATAAAAGAGTATGGCCACGTTATTGATTTTGATCACATTTCTCAAGTCTCTTTAATTCAATATTGGCCAAAATGCCATAGTAAACATACATCACTAATTTTTATTGTATGGAGGTCAAACATATAGCCATAGTTTCTGCCCATTTTTATGCCTCACAATATATTTCATGAATCAAATCAGAAGTGAGAAACATAGTAAACATACAACAAAGCGGCCAATCACTATCGCGATGCAGTCCACCCTCTTTCACATTATTCAGCAATCAATTCCAATATAATTCAGTAAATTTTATCAAAAAAGAAAAAGAAAAAAAAGAATAATGGAAAACAGAGAAGATAAAGAAACAGTAATGGCAAATCAACTGCGGAGACAAAATCTAGCAAAAATACCAAAAACAAATGAGATCGTTTAAGCAAGGCAGCAAGTCACTATCGCCATTTCATGGAAGCAATTTGAAATAGAAAGGGTCAAGTGCAAACAGAAATACCAAATATTCCACACATTCCCAATACCAACTGTCAAGATCTAAGCAAAATGATAATTCTATAAAAATAGTCCATTAACTTGAATAGCCTAGAAAGAAAAAGCAAAGCAACTTACTTGTTCTACTCCAATGGGATATACTTCTACTCCCAATTTCTTTATATACATGGAGATGAATACAAAGATACAAGCTCGACGAGAGAGCTCGAACAAGCCGGACTGGGCATAGGGAACTTCACCGGCGATGAACTGGAATCAACCTTGATTTAACTCCACTCCTATACTCGAAGAGCAGAATATCAGAATCAAATGAAGAACAGAAATGTTATCATCGGCAAACTCGAACTTCAAATGGAAATTCGAATCAAATAATTCAAACCGACTCCATCTTTGAAATCAAAATCCACAAAAAAAAAACAAAGTGTTTCTGGATTTTTGATTGAGAAATCTAATAGAACTGATATGGTTGTTTGGGTGTAACTACTGCTTCCTCAAGTGTACATCTCTTGGGGCTTTTCTGATGAAGAAGACGATCATGGAGGTTGTTTGTGTTTTGGATATTGGGGTTTGCGGAGCTGCTTCGGCTCCTCTGTCTAAGGCTCTCTAATGGTGATGAGGAATGAAGAAGCAGGAGCGTGGGGGAGGTCTGATAGGAAAACGGCGGATTGCAGCTTTTTTTTTGAATAACAACTACATTATTATAAATCTCTATTCAAGTGAACCAATCTTCATATTTATCCATTTTCATACATTGGAAGGTGTGAGTACCTGAAATGAAAGGAACAAGTAAATAAAGAAGGATCAACAGTTTGTACTTCAACAGAGATTGATAGCAGCAACAAAACAGCCCAGATTCAGTGATGAAACCACAGAATTAGTTCCAAATCCAATAAAACAGTAACTTCATAGTTCAAAACCCAGTAAAATGCAATTCAGTAAGCTAACACCAGCTTCAAAACACATAGCCAATTCGATAAACACCAAAATCTGACCTCACTGACTAAACCTCAAACCATTTCAAAGTCCAGACCAAAAAAATGTTTCAGAGAGTGAAAATTTCGAGGTGTAGAGCCAAGTCTCAATGGAACAGTAGCAACTTTTCTTTTTCTGTATTTTTCTCCCTTAGGTCTCTTAGCTCTTGGATTTCCTCCCTCCCTTCAGCCTCAAGTAACTATGCCTTTATAGGCAAGTTACTAGGGCAACCAATATATGCTAGGTTTTGCATTTTAGACCTCTCCTAACTTTTCTTTTTGCTACTTAGCCCCTGATTTTTTGACTTGCTAACCAAGTTAAAGTGTAAAATTCCCTAGAAGACCCCTACTAGAGGCTTCTAAATTAATTACCCAAGATTCCTCTATCTTAAAATTCCTAAATTACCCCCCAAGTTCCTGAAATTACCCCTTAAGGCCAGGTAGAACCCGGGTCGAAATGACCCAATTTAATGGGTCTGACAATCCAAATTAAACCCTCATCCGGGCCTTTGATTCTTTAGAACCCAATTAAAATCTATCAAGGATTCACCATTCTAAAGACTGACCTAAAATTACCCAAAAGAAAATCACGGAAACCTTAAACCAAAGCCCAAAACCAAAAATAAAAATAAAAATGAATTAACTAATTTTAAACAATAACAAAATAACTATGCTGATTATCAAACAAGTGATGCATGGACAACATTGACGACGAGCATACAATGAAGACATAGAAACACAGACACAGAAATAGAGATGAAGAAGGACGACTTAAAAAAGAAAAATACAAGAAAAGAAACAACAACAAAAAACACGTAAAAATAACTAAAACGGGCTGGCCAAGCCTTGGAGCCCTTCCTCGATCTTTCGATTTTGACCGAAAGGGGTTTTAATCATGTGTTCCCAGATGAAAACACATGACCAAGGTCCATTTCGGCCTCAATCATCACCAACTCTGCCAATTTTAGGGTTTGACATTTTAGGTCTCATTTTCGATTTAAGATTCGACGAGTTCGGGGGTGATTCGAGGGTAAAGGGTTAGTGATTTAGGATGGGGAAACGGAGAGGGTTCTAGGGAGTGAATTTGGGATGGTTTGGCGGTGGCACCGCCAGGTTAAGGCGGTGGAATTAGGGGCAGTGGGTAGGGTTTCTGTGAGAGAGATGAGAGAGATAAACGGAGAAGGGGGGGTCTGTTCGAACTGAACTGCCTCTAGAGGTTCAGGACAGTTTTAAACGAAAGTGATGAAATGATCTGGGCCGTTGGTTGCAACGAGACGAACTGCCATGATTTTTTGAGGTTTATCGAACTCGAAACGACGTAGTTTCACACTTGTACTACCTCGTTTCTTGAGTTTTAGGGACAGGAGGGCTTTGGACCGGGTATGGGCATGGTTTGGACGGGTTTTACATTAGGCCTGGGGAATTTTAAATAAAAATGGCCCAAATAGACTTCTTATTGAAATTCTTTTCTTTTTCTTTTTCAATTTCAAATCCTTTTTCTTTTCAAATTAAAATAAAACCTAAATTAATTTTTAAAACCAAATTAACCTACCCAATTAGATTAATCACTCATCATAGTATTTACAATAATTAATTAAATCCTAAATTTAGAGAAAAACTATAAAATTCAAAATTAAAGAGTTAAAATGCAAAATGAACTATTTTTGTGATTTTCATACCTCGTAAAACAAACTAATTTACTAATTAATCTAAAAAATATAAAATTAAATTCTAAATGCAAATACAGCATATTTTTGTATTTTTCATTAATACAAAAAATAAAAATGCGCAGATCAATGTAAACGATTATCAGAAAATGCCACAAAATCCACAAAAAATGCGAATAATGAAAAGAAATTATTTTGTTTTGAATTTATGGGAGTAATTCATAGGGCAAAAATCACGTGCTCACAGCCGCAATACGAAAACCTTCCCCCAAATCAGATTCTGTTTTTGGCTCCCTCACGCTCAAGAGGCATTGTAGCTTCATTCATCTTGATCCGGGAGCTTCAGCAGCAACAACGATTTCTCTGAAAAAATCCAACGCCCCCTGAAGCTTCATCTTCTTGACCCCTACACCACGAGCCCGCTGTTGCTTCACATCCTCATCTCCAAGACCAGCCTTCTCTTCTTCTCAAAAGATCACAAACATGAGCACAGTAGCAGAAAAACAGAGTAGGAAAGTGGGAAACTGAGGTTGAGGTTAAGGTCAGTCGCCGGTTCAAGTTCGGGTCCGACGAGATCGTCCGTTCATTAATTCCGTTCGTAGTTCACGGTTCCGTTTCAGAATTCGGCATCTTCATTTGGTCCCTGCTTGGAAATCCATGTACGTTCTTTTTAAAAGCTCCAAGGGAAACCTGAATCTGTTTAGCAATCTTTGATATTTTTTTGGATAATATATATTTGTTCTGTTGTCTCATTATGTGTTTAAGATTTGCTTGAATTCAATTTGTTGAGTTTTGTTTTACTTTGTTTTCATGTGTTGTTACTCGTAGGAGCATAGCTCATAATGTAGTATTTAGGTATGAGAGAACTACTGGAGAATGATAAAAATTGGAAGTTTTGTTCTCCTTGGTTTCAATGGCTGCCGTGATTTTTGTTTGGTGGTGTTTGATGTCTCTTTGGTTATGGCTTGGTGAAATTAGCGTAAAAGTAATTAAGCCTGATGCATCTATAAACGATTTTAATAGGACACTAGCTCTAATTTGTGGTTTGTTCATTTACTGCCTGTAACTGATTATCTACAAGGATCGAGTGGATATTTGATCAAGGAGCATATATAATTTTCCTTTGTTTTGTCGTCACTGGCTATTAAAGTCAGGTAGTTGAAATAAAATTTGTGGATGCAATACTTCAAAGTTTGAATTTCATTTGTGTGCTAGTGGACCTCGATCTCATGGAATGTCGATTCAATCGGGTGCTAGTTGTTGATGAATTTCGAGCTGCCAGCACTGATTCCAACCCAATACATACGATCTTGAACTTAGAAAGAACAAATCATGACACCGTAGCCCGCTTTAGGCGCGTAATTAGATTATCACGATTACGGGTGTGGTTCCCGTGGCGTAGTTGTGATACCTAATTAGTTTTAAATATGAATATTTGTAGTTCACTTAGTTGAATACTTTTTCCTTTAATGAAATTGAGGTGTGCCATTAGCTAATTTCCATGGCCCTCGTAAACTTGAAATGTGTAGTTGCTTTAGGTGCGTAATTTAAATTAATTTCCTTAAACTCGGGTGTGCATTTATGTGACCCAAATTCAAATCTCAACAACGTTAGATAAAATGTGTCATAGACCGCGGGTGCATTTATGTGACGTGGTTCAAGATGTGTTTTAGATGACGTTGATCTTTCTCCTAAAAAATAATTAATTAAAGTGGTTATAAAGTTAAAATTGAACCATAGGTTAAAACATGTGTTAAAATCAGATAATAGGCCAATAATAACAGTTGAGCGACCGTGCTAGAACCACGGAACCCGAGAATGCCTAACATCTTCTCCCGGGTTAACATAATTTCTTACCCGGATTTCTGTGTTCGCGGACTGTAAAACAGAGTCAATCTTTTCCTGGATTCGGGATTTGAACCGGTGACTTGGGACAACATAAAATTATCCCAAGTGGCGACTCTAAATTTAATAAATAAATAATCCTATTTCGATTGTTACTTTAAGTTAGAAAAAACTCCCTACTACCCTTCTCGGGGTGTAGGAAAAAGGATGTGTGACGTATCCCATCTTAGGGAATTTGGATGCAAGTGTTTTGTGCACAATAATGGTAAATTCTCCATAGGTAAGTTTGATCCCACGAGTGATGAGGAAGTATTCTTGGGATATTTCTTACGTAGTAAAGCTAATAAGATCTATAACAAATGAACTATGTGTTTATAAGAAAGTGTACATGTGGTGTTTAATGAAACTAACATTCTTTCTGAGAGGCAAGAGCATGAAGATGAAGTAATTGGGCTGGTAAGAAATTCAAATGAAACTACAGCTCAGACTGAAGCTACACCAGAGGAAGGAACAAGTGATGGAACAGGTTCTTCTACCCAGGGCAACCTGACAAGGGGAACTGAACAAAGAGAAACTGATCCTCAAACCTCGAGGGAACCTGTCCATGAACATGTTCCTCAGCAACAAAATATTAAAGGAACATCTAGGGAAAATGAGCTGGTTGTGAAACCTTACAAATACCAAAATTCGCATCCCATTGAGAACATAATTACTGATACAACCTCTGGAATCAAAACCAGATTGTTACATCCCGTGAGTTTAACAACATTGACACCATTATATATATTTGATATGGTATTTTAAGTGGAATATTTTTGTAAAATAGTTTGAAAAAATATGATTTTATATAGTTATTAAAATTACTATTTCGAAATATGCTTTAAATTATACACATAATATGAGAAAGTTTATGAGATTTTCTTTATTGTAAAGATNGGTACCACATGACCATGATAGTAAGTTATGTAATGTGTATTAAAAGTGAGTAGCATTTTAAGTAATTTGAGATAATTCATAATTATATGAATATTTGATTAATTGTATATTTTTGGTGGAAGATTAACCATGTAATTAAGAAAATTGATGAATAAAATTTGGAGAAGTTTAACTGTGGAAATGTGGAAAGCTTTTCTACCTATCTAATGACTATTAAATAAGGGGGAAAGGTGTCACACTTTGAGAAAGTCAAGTGAAACCAAGCTTGGAATGTTACCCAAATATTAAAGATAATATTCATAATTTAATAATATTTCCTAATCTCTTAAGAAGCCTTTCAGCCAAGCTTTTCCATTACATAGTAATGTAAATTCTAACCTCTTAAGAAACATTCCAGCCAAGCTTTCTACTGAATAGTAATGTTAATACTAAATCTCTTGAGAAAGAGTTTCAACAAAGATGATATTGCAATAGCAATGTTATTGCTTTGAGCATTTCATACAGACAGTTCCCTATTGCGATCTCACCGTTACGTGTTTCGTCGCAATTAACGTGTGTTAGAAGGATTGTCAAGAGAATCGACTCAGGTATGTTAAGGCTATCCCTTCTTTCTTTTGGCATGATCCAAGTAACGATATGTAAACGTAATGCTATTCCATAAGTGGTTCTACTCTTAGTAGTTAAGGATGTCTACGTTATTCATTCCTATAAAGTGATATTCAAGCA